GGCTTTCGACTTCTGCGGTCGACTCCGAAACGCGGTCGACGCGCGCGCACAACCGTTAGGGTTTTGGTTCGCGGTAACCGCAGTGAACTTTAGTATAGTTTTCGAGGCTCCCCGAGACCATTAGTTGTTCAGACATTCCTAGCAGATCCCAACGTTGACGCGAGCTATTGTCAGAGCCCCCCGCGACCCTAGTGTGGATTCTCATCGGAGCCCCGTACTCCGTTGACAGCCTCGATTTGTCCCGAACCCTGTCGACTTTTAGCTAGGCTAGCTGAGACTCCGATCAGCTGCAAACACTTCTGCGCCTTTCGGAGCACCTCTCCCCTTAGAATCCGCAAACTCTCTCGTGAGTCCTACCCTCGGTGCGTAGCTAACCCAGTAGTGTCTCGTAGCTGCACTTTCCGCCAGCCTGGTGACCTACTGACTGTGTCAAAATCAGCTGCACAAGTCTGCTTTAGGTCAACGCTTCTCCGACAACCCTTTCAACAAGCAGTAGCTTCCCCTATCTCAGACCAGCCCGCTAAAGTTGGTAGCTTTGAGCAGACCCCAATTGTGATAGTCGACCGCGAGTAGTGTCTTCCTCCTCACAACTTCCTACCACACTTCTCGAAAGCTGGCGTCCACAAGCTCTAGCATTTCGTTCTCGTGCCCGCAAGACAGCCCCCCATCAGCCGGCCCGGTACTCCACTCTCTCCGCAACCCCAACATGGCTGCTCGTTGGCCGCACACCTGGGACCCGCTGGACGGAGAGGACCCCTTCAGGTATGAAGACGAAGGGCCCAACAAACCGACGACAGAAGAAGTGGCGGCGGCGCAAGCACAGAAGACTAAGATGTCGCCGGCTCTGCTTCAACGGCGGCTCACCTCAATCATCGACACCGTCCGCGTAAAGGAGCCGGAAATCCCGGATTCCTACCAGGACATCATCGAGAAGCTGCCGAGATTTCGCGCACTGCACTTCACCTGGCGGCCAGCAACCCCAACATCAAGGCGAAGTTGGTGCAGCTTTGGAGCGAACTGGGAGGCGAGAAGCTAATGGAGGACGTGATCCTGACGCCACTGGAGCGCGCTCGCGAGCCATCAGAAGTGCCGTCAATTCCGCCGCTGGGACCGGAGGTGCTGGAGGAGGCCGAAGACGAAGAGGAGGAGCAGCGGCCGGACGAGACCGACGAAGGGCTCACCGTTGACGAGGCCCTGGAGTACGCTTTGCGGGTGTCTCAAGACTTACAGCGCCCCCCTGGAGAGGCGGCCGCGGTCCGACAGTGGACCCTTCTTGGCACGCCGGAGGACAACGCCCGCGTCGAAGGCCTGGCGAGGGGCCTCCTTCAGCAGCGCGCGCAGAAAGCGCGCACGACTACCGGCGAAGCAGCCCGCGAGGGAGCGCCGCTGAGATAGGGACCCGCACCAGGACCCGCCGCCGGCGCACCTGGACCCCGCGTGGCACCCCCTGCGCCGCCAGCACCCCCTGCACCGCCAGCACCCCCAGCGCCGCCTGCACCGCCAGCACTCGCTGCGCCTGCTCAGCAAGCCGGCGGTCAGCCACGTGTCCCCGCTGCTGACGTCCAGGACGTCACTCTGGAGATGCAGATGCGGAAACTCGCGCGGCAATTCCCCCTCGGCGGCGGGGCGCAACTTCCCCCTCTCTACACCCAGACGGACGATCAGCGCCGCGAAGCCGCTGAGACGTTCAGCCCGACCGGCTTTGCGGAGGACTACGACGGGCGCCTTTGCAACGTTCACGCTGGCGGACAACTCGCGGGCGCGCCCGCCGGGCAGGCCATCGACGCAGCCCACTCCGTCTGGCTGCAGGAACAAGGCGTGTGGATTCCCCTCTACACCAACGATCGCAGAGAAGACCGCCACGTCATCTGCGAGGCGGGCACGTGGACTATGCTGGCGGAGACCATCCGCAACGCCCCCTCCATCAATGAGTTCAACCAGCACTCGCAGGCCCTCACCCACCGGAACATCCTCTCTGCCGACAAGGTGTGGGCGCAGGCGGACCGCGTGGTGTGGTTCAACCAAAGCGACCAAAACAGCCACGGCGTCAACCTGTTCCAGTTGGGACGCCTCAAGGACTTCACCACCAACTCCGACGGCCACGTGGTCAAGCTGCTGAAGACGGAGACGGCGCTCAACGCCGCCACGCTCGTCGCCTAGTGGACGGTGGAGCAGCGGAGGACGAACGCGGCGGCGACGGAGTACGGCCACGCCGAAGCCATCGAGTCGTACAACATTCTGCCAGTGACGTCAGCACTGCAGCTCCACATCTACCCCCACTGGCGACGTCAGTCGATCGACGTCTACGACCCGCGGCACCTGGAGCGAACCCCCTCCTACTGTGGCCTGGCGTGGGACGTGCAGCAGATGACGCAACCCCACGAGTTCGCCCCCGGCGCCTACTATTTCTGGCTCAACCCCCTCGACTTCCAGATGGCGGGCTGGCTGTGCCGAGGTGTTGCTGACGTCCCCGATGACATCGTCAAGTCGCGGGTGCTCGAGCGCCTCACTCCCGGCCAGTGCTTCACCGTCATCAACCAGTGGAAAGCAACCCCCGGCTCCAACACTCCGAAGGACCACACGCGGGTGGTCCAGCGCGAGTGGTTGGGGAACTACTTCCACGCCAACGACGAGCAGTGGAAGATGCAGCTTCTCCCCGCCAGCCGCTGCAACTCCATCCGCTACTACATGATGGCCAGCGCCAGCAACGTGGCGCCACTTTCCCTCGTCCACGTGGACCGTACGTACCTGGCGCCGTACGGAACATGGGGCTACATCCTGCGCCAGTACCGGGTCATCCCTCCGACCCCGCGGCGGCGCTTCTCTCTTTACGACGAGGCGATCGCCATCATTCGGCGCATCCCGCTCCCGGACGTCGCCATCATCGGGCTGGGCCCCAACACGGCGCCACGTCCTCCCCTCTTCTGGGCGTGCCACTGGCGCCCCGCTCACATTCAGCTGCCACGTCATCGCATCCTGGACGGCCTGTACACTGTCGATCAGTTCCTTCCCGACGAGGCGCGGTCCTACGTCGTCGCGTGTCTGCGCCGCACCCCCACTTGCTTCGACGCACCGGAAGAGCCCTGGGCGGAACGCGACCGCTCACCGGCGGCCATCCGACCAGAGCGCGCACAAGAAGGCGCCGCGAGCAACCCCCTCGCTTGGCGGCTCAGCGTGCAGCGGCCGCCATCCAGGAAGTGGCCGTCGCCGAGGCCGTTCAGCCCCCTGCCCCGGCGCCTTCTCCGGCGGAGCGGCCCCCGCCAAGGCGACCCTCGCGGCAGCCGCGCCCCAGTCCGCAGCGTGGCGCGCAAGCGGCGGCCGCGACCCCCCATTCCGCTGGCGTGGACTATAGCGCCATCTTCAACACGGCAGCGCGCGGCGCAAACGCCGCCGATACCCTTCAGGCCGCCATCCTCTAGCTGCTCAACTCCCTCGCCGAGCAGCCGTTCCCCTGTCCCGACCCGATCTGGGGCACCCGGCAACAGCTCACTAACGAGCTGCTCGCGACCCCCGACCTCCAGCCCTCCAACCGGCGTGCCAGCATGGGCAACATCCCGGTCATCGACAACCTCTGCCAGCTCATCTCTGCCACGTCACGCGCAGACACCGGCCTCGCGCAGCACGTCTGCGCTTTTCTGCAGCGTTTATGGCCACCGGTGCGCGGGCAGGCCCTTCGGCGGGCGGCCCCCCACCTGCACCTGGCGGCCGGGGCCCTCCGCGTGACAACTCTGGCGCTGGCGGCCGCGGCCACAGCTCCCCTGCCGACCAGCGAGACAACGGCGGCGGTGGCCGTGGCGGCGGCCGCGACAGACGCTCAACCCCTCCGGATGACGGTGCGAAGCGAAGGCGCCTAGGCGACGGCGAGCAGGACGCCGAGGAGCCCCACCGCGAGTTGCGCCAGCGGGTCCGCGAGCGCGCCCCTTCGCCACCGGACCGGCCCACTCGCTCCAGGCGGTCCCTATCGCCCTCTCCACCGCGGTCTGACCACTCGCCCTCTCGTCGCCGAGGGCGCTCTCCAACCGCACGGCGGCCTTCTCGCGGGCGCGCCAACCCCGCTCAGCTTCTCCGTCTCGGCGGCTGCCAGCTGGCGAGTCAAGACGTCAGCCCCCCGCCAAGCAGCCTTTCACCTTCAACCGGTCTCCTCTTGCCGAACGCCGCCGCAACCCAATCTCGGAAGGACGCCACCAAGCGGCCATGGCGGTCCTGCGGAACGCGGCCGCTGAGCCACGTGTCTTCCGACGCGGGAAGGGCGCCGAAAACACCGTCGTGGCATACCTTGGCCACAACCCGCAGGAGCGCAAGTCGCGCTCCATCCGCCTCGACACCGCTGCCATTGGCCGCACCATCTACGGCCACATGAAGAAGTCGCTCGACAACGGCGACTACGAACCCCCGCTGGCGTCTCCCGCGCGCTCGTGCTCACCTCCAGCACCCCTGGCGCGCTCACCTTCGCCACAGCTGCTCGACGTCGACCAGCCCCCCAGCCCGCCACGTGTCGGTTTCGCCGAGCAGTTCTCCAAGCTCCCCGACGTCCTGCAACATCTGAAGGACGGCACTTCTCCCACGGCGACGCCAAGACCGCCGCTGCCGCCCAAGCCCAACTCTCTGAAGGAGGCGAACGAGGCGCTGCTCGTCAGCCAGCTCCAAAAGACGTCAACAGCCCCACCTGTACCGGCGGCGCCAGCCCCACCTGTACCGGCGGCGCCAGCCCCACCTGCTGCTGACGTCATCAGCGAGCGTGCTGCTACGGCGGCACCTCTTCCTCCCCCTCCTCCGCCAATGTGGAAGCCCCTGATAACCCACGTGGCGCTTCCCTGGCCGAAGCCCCTGATCGCTGACGTGGCACCGGCGGAGTCGTCCTCACCACCTCGCCCGTCTGCTGGCGTCTCCAACGCTGTGCGGAGTCCGACCATCCCCGCTGCGGCCCCTGCGACGCGCCTGGAGGCGGCTACGCCAGCGCTGACGTCATCTCAGCCCCTCCCCGGAGGTACGAAACTGGCTCCGCTCAATGCACCTGCCGACGTGTCCACGCCCACCGTCACCTCCGTTGTGCCCACGCCATCATCACTTCAGAAGCCCACGTCATTAGACATCACCGACGTTCCGCTGTCCGTCACCATCATCTCTCCTGCCGTTGGCGAGTCGAAAACACCAACGAAGGCATCCCGGCCTGATGCTGACGTCACAACGTCCGTTCCACTAGGGCTCCGGTGAAGATCAAGTTCCGGGGGCTTACGTCATCTTCCGGCGTCAGCTCTGGCGCCCCTGTTTCGGTCATCACGGCGGTCACCCCTGCTTCTGCCGGCAACCACATCTCGGAGTCCGAACCCGAGCGCGCTCCACTCGCGGCGCCCATCAAGGTCGAGACGAAGCGGAAGCGGAGAAAGAAGGAACGGCGGCCTGCAGTCGACCCCACCACCGGCGAGCCGCTGAAGTCGGAAGAAAAAGAAGAAGCGCGCCATCGAGCAATCTGACATGGCGCACCCCAGATGAAGAAGAAGAAAACCAAGGAGGACAAGTCCGACGCGAAGGAGGCGAAAACGGCGCGCGCAACGACGCCTTCACCCCCTCCGACGCGAAGATCTCGGCAGGCACAGTTCAACGCTGACATCCAAGCC